AATCGAATACGGGTTAACTTTTGTAAGGTCTATTTTTGGATGGGGAGGATTACGCGTGCCACCATCGGTCTTTAGGTTTTATTTGGATAAAAATATCTTTTAGCTTAACTTCTAGGTATGATACACGGTGCAAGTTTGGAATTACTATCAAACAAATAAAATACCTTTTTCAGGAATGTCTAGATTTGAATATTAAACAAATATCCTCAATTCTTTTATTTCTCATATATTTTTAATATAGTTTTCATTATTAATTAGTATTAAATCAGTTTCATTTGATTCTGATATCATTTATTAATATTATAATATTTTTTTCAGTTTTGATATATTGTTGCGTACATCTTGTTTTCGTATACCATAGAAATTATGGATTTTATAGGATAAGGATGAAACGAAATTATTTTATTATAATATAAAAATAAGCGTAAACTATATTTGCAACCCCTGAATTTTTAGAATGCTTAAAAATTGGACATAAAATTATAAAAATATAAATTGAAGTAACTGAACTTTTAATTTATTTTCAATTCGGTGAGCAACATGAGAAAATTAAAATATATATATATATATATATATATTACCCCTCTGTGAGGATCAAACCACAGTTTAGGGAAAAGAATACAACACCTAATCACTAAATTAAATTAAAAATTATTATCATATTGATAAAAAAATATTTTAAATTAAATTATGATTGAAATTAATATAATTTATTTTATAAAAAATATTAATTATTATATAAGTTATAAAATAATATGAGAACATATTTTTAACATTACTTATATATATATATATATTAATACATATAGAATAAATACAAGACTGTTCAAAGATCCTCAATCAATTGATAATAAATATTTATACTCCTATCAGTGCTCAATTAATAATTTCTACAGGGAATAAAAAATTTTTTATCCAATAAAGTCAATTTATTTATGCATTGTCGTCTTTTAAAAATGTATTAATCTGTGTAACATAATCTTATATTTTAAAATATCAAAAATATATAGAAGAATATAAACATGGAAGAAATACAAATAAAATAAAGATAGAATTTATTAGTCATTGATTGCAGTCATAGATAAAGACAACTGCGTATACGTATGTATCACGTGACAGTTGTATTGCTTTAATAATAAAATAAATATTTTATTACATAGTAGACATGTGTATAATTTATTTTTGAAAGAAGTTATTTTTTTCTCTTTGAATTATTAATTTAATATTAAAGTAAATATATTAACAACCAATTGATTTAGTAGGATAATAATTAAAGTTTTTAGGAAGATCATTAGTTCAAATTTTCATGTTGTAAATAGAGCAAGAACAATTAAAAGAGCCGTCTTTATAATGAGCCTTTAAATTGACTCAAATTAGATGATTAATAGATTAAACACCAATGATTATATAAAAATATTAAAACAAATATTTCATTCAAAGTTAATTATACAATATTAAAATGAAAATAATCTAATATTATTGAATGAAAATGGACTTTCAAGCTAGTCGTAGTCCAACCTAAATTAGAATTCGACAAGAGATTCCAAAAAAGTTGTGGGCTGCAATCAAATTTTGAAATACATTTAGACACTTTAGAATAAACTATTTATTACACTCAAAACCAAAACATATATTTTCATGGCTAAATGCTTAAATTAGGACATGATATTTTGGAGATTATTCATATAAGGGTTGATATTTTAAAATGATTAAATAAAGAGTTATGTCGTACACATATAGGATTAATTGCATCAAATATCCTTAAATAATAAGTCGGGTTTTAAATCGGTCCAAACTATCAAACATTTTAATTAACTTGCTTAGGTGTCTTTGGCAAGGCAGTTGGGAGCTGGAGCTGGAGCTGGAGACGAAAACGTGATTTTATGTTAGAGGGTCTAAAATTTTATAGTAATAAATAATTTATCAAACATGCTAATTTATTAAAATATGTTCTCAACACCCTATATTTCTTCTGGTCACCTACAAAACAACGTATTTCAGACCATTCAAACTTGAAATAAACTACAAAAACAAAGAACTATGAAATTCAATTATCTATTAGTGTTCTGCAATATCCTCAGATTATCAAAATCTTTTACCAATCAGTGTTCTCCGCCCTCCTCTGGGTTCTCATTATATTCTTCTTCATCATCGTTGTCTTCATCCTCATCAATGTCCTCCACATTAAGTATACTGCCTCGAGGGAGTTTGCTGAGCTCCAATTCCCCATCATCTTCATTAAGGAATTCCAGCCCATATTTCGTGTCACGATGCTTAACCAAAAGCCAACGTAACAGCCTGTCTTCCTTGTTCAAGTACTGCAGCTCCTTGTTGATATTGGGTGTGGCCATCATTGTCATCTGCATGAGATTACCCTGTATAAAACATGTAATAAACAGCTTGTTCAATTGATCATTTTATCAACAAATTTCTATGCCAAAAAAGACCATTTCTCTACATATTCCTTATAAATACACACGCACAAAGGAGGCTATAAGTTTGGAGATAGAACAAAGGGCTGTAAATGCAGCGACCTGAGCTACAAACCTGCTAGATGCCATCTCTTAAAGATGGTTGCATGAACCAATTAAGGCTAAACCGACGTGTCACATCTAAAAATTTCTAGCTCAACCAGAAATTTCCTATTAAAAAACTAGTTAGCAGGAAATTACTAGTACCAAACACAATATGTCCAAAAGCATGGAAATTTTGGTTTACTAATGATGATTTGATACAATTTTCACCTAGGTTGGTTTAAGCAAAAAGCTTTACATTGAGACCAGAAAGTAGAAGAAAACAATAAATTCTCCTTCATTGCTTTACAAATCAATAGTTCCTTTTTATGTCAAATTAATAAGCTTCAAAAGAACACTCTGTCCCTGTACAACCAAAGCCTAATTTAAATCGGTGAAACAAGTAGGAAGTAAATATATATCATAACAGTAAAAGATTTATACACTTCCCAGAATAAGATGGACCTCAACAAGACAAGTTCACAGACTATGACTATATCTACCAGACTTCAACATATTCGGATTTTCCATTTTTCATTGCAACCCTATCAATGTGAGTTAGCTCAACGTTTGAACAAGGGGCAAGATAAACTTCAAAAGGGAAAAAGGGCAAAACCCAACAACAAAAACACAATCTTAGCAGGATCAAACCATAAACATCATACAAAATGCAAGATTTTTATGACCTGGAAATATCTTCCAGAAAGCTTCCTGATGCCATAACCCAGTTGAACGGTGCCAAATGATTTGACCTCAGTGAGAACCCCATTTCTGCTATAAACATGTCTACCGACACGAGCTACCAAGTCCATTATCCCCTCCTTCTTCACATGAGGCTTCAATAGAAGCATACAATCATATAGAGGCATTTCTTTAACTCTGTAAAAAAATCACCAATCCTTAAAAAACAAACAAATTCGAAGCTGAATCAAACAAATTGTCAGAAAATAATCATTATACTCCCCATAAAAATTAATTTCAAAACATAAGAAAAAAAAGGGTGGAAAATACCTGAAACTGAAGGCTGAAGCAAGCAATCAACCTCCGAAAATAAGAGACAGAGAGCCGACTTGGGATCTGATTGATTGATTGGGGTTTTGGGTTTATTGGAAGTCGAAAACGAACAACCGCTAACGCCCCCAAACCGAAGTTTATTGGGTGAAACCCAATCTTTTGGGCTAACAATTCATTTGGATCTTCTTGAATCCAATTGAGTCGACTGCTTTAGGCCTTAAAATATATATTTTGGAAATGTTAATTCATACTATTTTCAGTAAAATACATACTTTAATCCTAGTAAATTTATTAATATTATTGTACTTATTATAAATGTAAATTTTTTACTCAATACAATAGATCCAGCATGTCGTTCTAAAGTAGAGTTATTATTTGATATATACAGTGTTATTTTTCTTACATAATATGTCTATTTTAGTTTTAAAATCTAAAACTCTAAACTTTAAGTCATAAACATAAAAATTTATATTTGACATCTCAAAACCTAAATTATAAATTCTAAACTCAAAATTCAAAATCCTAAATAAGACATATGACATTAGAATAAGTAAGCTTATATAAACTAAAGTTTACGTTGCATGTCTATCAGATAATTTTTCTCTAAAGTAATATTTTTATGAATATATATTTAATGTTTGAATTCTTTTACATAAAATAAATAACTAGATATTTTTAATTTATTAAAAAATAATATATATAATTCATATGAATAAAATACCAAAATTGATAGTTGAATCCTGAATTATTATTTTTAATTAATGGACATGATTGAGCCCAGGCCTAATGGTTATTGGTTAATCTAACCACCAAACAAACTTATTTAATTGCTACAACATGACCAAAAATAATATTTTCAAAACTCCAAAATTCAATTTGGCCTCCATTTTGTTTATGCTTTTGTTTCGCCTCTGTTCCAATGGCTAATGTTTTGATTCATTGAAGAATTTCATCTGGTAATCTGTTAAACAATGGAAATCTTTTACTTATGCCAAATTTGGGCTCTTGTAGGAACAAAATATAAATATAGAAAGATGGGTGATCTAAAGATAAAAAACCAAAATCTTTGATGACTAGCAATTGTTCTTGATAGAGTTTACCCAATAAATAATCAAGGCTTTTGGCATTTACAATTCAACCCGTAATAAAATTCCTCTTTTTCAAAATCTGGCAAGATATCGATAATTACAAGCAAAACATGGTATAATGTTATTGATAATCACTCATATATTATTAAAAACATATGGGTAAATATCAAATTAAACTTCTTAATTTTAGTTTATTTTAATTTTGTCACTCGTTCTCTATTGTTAATTATATTTTGACTATTAAGTTGGTACTATATATATGCCTATTCTTTTATTAAGTTGGTACTATATATATGCCTATTCTTTTATAAAAAAAATATATAATTACAAAGCATGGTACTATAATTTTATTGATATTAGTAGGCTCATGAGATTCATCATAGCTGCTGCTGTGCCATCCGACTGCTCCAATATCTCTACAGGTCGAAGCAAGCTTCCCATAACCAGCAGCAGCACAAAGCAAAGAGACTGCAAACATATTAAAATTTATGTAAATCTATAATACTTTGATAAGATTATGATAACAATAAACTGTGTAATGGAGGGAGAATCAAAGACTAACCATCCTTCAAGGCAGCTTCTCTTGTTTCCATGGCCCTTATCTTTGGTCACCGGAGGACAAAAAGCTGGAAAATCATCAGAGCGTACGAAACCAGAAATCATAATCGACAAATTTGTCAAAAAGAAAAAGATCTCTATATGTCAAGATTGAGAGAGCTTCACCTGTTGAATTGTGGTCGCTTGTTCGATCTATGTTCTTTTGTTTTTCCATGAGAGACACGAGAGAGAGATGGATGTTTAATGTAGGCTTTAGTTTGTTTATGATGCTTAATGTTGTGCAATCTGGTGAACCTCACTCGATATGCTTATAAGTAAGCAACGAAAATGATAATTTTCTTTAAGAAAAAAACCTAGTTGGCGAATAATTGATGTCATAACCATTTTTTAGGTAAAACAATTAAATATTATTTTAAAAAACGATTATGACTTTAATTTGAAAAAATTAGTGATTTGGAATTAATTTGATTTAAATTGAAAGGGAGTCGCCATCGACCTTTGGGTTAGGTATGTCAAATACCCAAAAACGTCTTTTAAAAACAATCTTAAGAAAAAACATTTTTTAAGACAAAAATGGTCTGTGTTTACAAAGATTACTTTAAAACGGGTTCGGGAGTCGATTACGCGTGGGGAAGGATTAACACCCCACAACGCCCAAAACTGATACTGTGCCGCTTACACGTTGTCGTACATAGTGAAAATTATAAATCGAATATAAAATTAAATTACGATCCATTTATCAAACATTAATTTACTTCGAATTTACTATTTAAAGAGAATCCTTTAATTCAAATAAAAAAACCTTGAAATTAGCAATCCTCCGTCGGGAAAACTATTTCAACTATTTTTCATTGTTAAAGAATATTCTATCGTAGAATATATAAAAGATGCATATCAAATATAAATTGCAATTTGACAATTGCGAAAAAAATAAAATAAAATACATAACTTGCACTGTTCAGTGTAAAATAAAAATGAATTAACAATTAACAAACTTAAAGTTCATTTATTTCAAGTTCCATTTAGTTCGAACGTCGTATTAGATTGTACCACTTTGATCAAGTAGTACTTTCCACGCCCGTTCTACAAATCATTGTTCTTGAAACTTACCGAGCAACAAGTTAACATATAACATAAAATAATTAGAATATATATTGAAATATTTATAAGATGTACGTATACCTAATAAAATATAAAGGATAAAATATTTGCAAAATATTAGAATCAGGTATGTAATAAAACATTAACTAACGGGTCCTTTATGAAATAAATAAATAAATAAATAAATGAGATCAAACTAAATTTACATCATATACATGGATATAAATAGATATAAGGTCAAAATTTATAAAATACATACATGCATGCAAATATAATATCATAGATACAAACAATAAACGAAAAATATAAACAAACGCAAGCAATCTACAAGAGAATGCAAAACCATATTTAGAGATAATCAAATTGTAGTGCACCTGATTAATAAAGATTAAAGTAAAACTAAGGATAGGACAAAACCACACAAATAAAGTAATAAAAGTCTAGATGTGTAATAAACCCATAAACATAGATGTTTCAGAATCAACATATAATGACTTAAAATAAAATAAAATTAAACCTATAGGATTTAAGTCTATATTTTCTAAACTTTATTTAAGGACCAAAATGAGTGTTTTATAAATATTGAAGCAGAAGTCAAAAACACCATAAATAATAAACACAAACAAACATGGACTAGAATGTGAACTTGCATGAATGCTATGACCGCATTCAAATATTCTCATAATAATTGCAGTTACAAATGGGGATTAAAATAAAATAAAACAAAAATATAAGACAAAATCCGGAAGATTAGCAAAAATGCATAATAACTAGACAGGGACAAAAATGAAACATTTACGAATATAAAAACCAGAGTCGAACATTAGCAAAATAAATAAATAAATAATATGACACATAATAAGGACTAAAATAGAAATATGAAACATGAGAGCTTGAAATTAAAATAGAGTGCCTTTTCATTAATGGCCAAAATAACAAATTACAGATGAGGAAGGACCTAGATTGTAGTTACCCCACAAGCTAAAATACGCAGAAGGCCCCCTGTGAAACTACGTCGTTTCATTAATGATATATAAGGCCCAAAATCGGGCTTGCTCACCCATTCATCCCCATTTCTCATTTCTTATCAAAATAGAGAGGAGACAGAGATTCAGAAATCTCTCAAACTCCTCTCATCGAAGAGAGGGACCCGACTGAGCTTGCGGCAGCAAGCAGCGGCGCACGAATGCCGGCACAACGGCCGGAGGGAACAGATGGTCCCAAAAGCATCTCCTCACCTTCCTCTACCCGAAACCTAAACCATTTTCATCTAAAAATCACCTAACAACCCTAGATCTAAGATTATACCTCTCGAAAGCTTTGAACTCCGGTGACCACTTGGCTTCCCGGTACTCCTCAGACGAAGGTATTATCCTCTCCTACTTCTCTTTTCTTTTCTTCTCAGTTGTGGTTCGAATGGATCTAGGTTCTTTTTATTATTTTTGCTTGTTTTATTTATTTGATTTTTTTTGGGTTTTGGGGTTCAAACGAGGTAAGGGATTTTTCTATCCCCACCTGAATGGTTTCTCTTTTTCCTTTTTTTTCTTTTTATGTTGCATGTGTTGATATCTTCTCCGCTATTTGGTGATGGATTTGAGTGATAGATAGACCCCTCTGATTCCTCGGGATTTTTTGTGTACTTGCTTGATTTTATTTGATTTTTTTCTTTGAATCACTGACTGATGGATTATTTTTCGTCCACTGTTGATGATGAACTTGACTTGAGAGATGCTCGGTGGCTTGGGTTGGCTCGATAGCAACTCACGCGGCTCAGGAATGACCGGTGAAGACCAACGTGCGGCTGGGGATTGGAAGAGGCGGCGTGGCTGCTCTCTTGGTTTAGGGTTTTAGAAACCCTAAAGTTTTAGGGTTTAGGTTATCTACTAGATTGGGCCAGTGATTTGGGTTCCAGTGGACTTCTGGTTTGGGCTTCGGGATTAACCTGTAAAATGTTGTAAAATGTAATTAATAATAATAATAATTAATAAAAATAATAATAATAATAATAACAACATTAATAATAATAATAATAACAATAATAAAATTAAAATTAACTAGAAAAGACCCGGACAAAAACGAGTGTTTACAGCTGCCCCTCTTTGCACATTCTTGTGTTAACAAGAATAGGGTAAAGACGATATGACAACACGTTTTTGTCTGGTTCTCTCCTTTTTGTCTATAAATTGGATATGTGGTTGTTGGGGACGACACTGCTCATACGTGATGAAGAGTTCGGGTCTTCTAAGGGTGACTTGGTTCCTACGTGATGAGGAGATTTGGTCGGGGATGACACTACTCATACGTGATGAAGAGTTATTGGCCATCTTTACGAAGGTGATAACACGGCTCATACGTGATGAAGAGTTCTGGTTATCAAAGGTTGACACGGCTCCCACGTGATGAGGAGATCAGGTCGAGTGATGAGACGGCTCATACGTGATGAAGAGTTCTGGCCATCTAAATGTGATAACACGGTTGCTACGTGATGAGGACGATTGGTTATCTAAGGTTGACACGGCTCCTACGTGATGAGGAGATCTGGTCAGGGGATGACACAGTTCCTACGTGGTGAGGACGACTGACCATCTTTAGGGATAATGGTTTCAAGGGAAACTGACTCAAAGATAGGATTTTGATAGAAACTGTCTCAAGGGAGACAAAATTCGTTTCAAGGGAAATGATCTCAAAGATATTTGTTTTGTTTCAAGGGAAACAAACTCAAAGATGATTAATTTTGTTTCTAAAGAAACAGACTCAAAGATTTTTCTTAAAAGAAACTGTCTCAAGAGAGACAAAATTTTGTTTCCAAAGAAACAGACTCAAAGATAGGTTACGTCTTAAGTGAGACCAAATTTGTTTCAAAAGAAACAATCTCAAATGTTGGTTTTTCATTAGAAACTGTCTCAAGAGAGACAAAATTTTGTTTCAAAAGAAAAATAATCAAAGATGAGTTTTGTTTCAAGGGAAACAGGCTCACAGATGGTAAATGTTGTTTCCAAAGAAACAAACTCAAAGATTTTTCAAAAAAAAACTTTCTCAAAAGAGACAAAATTTTGTTATCAAAGAAACATACTCAAAAAAAATTTATTTTGTTTCAAGTGAAACATACTCAAAGATCCTTTGTTTCAAAAGAAACGACTCAAAGATGATGTTTGTTTCCAATGAAACAAATTCATAATTTGGAAAATTGTCTCAAGTGAGACAATAATTTTTTTTAGAGAAATTGTCTCAAACGAGACAAAAATTGTTTTTAGATAAATTGTCTCAAGCGAGACAGTTTATTTTGAAAGAAACAACAATCTCAAGTGAGATTAATTTTGTTTCAAGTGAAACAAATTCAAAATTTGTATCTCAAAAAAAATATCTCAAGCGAGACGCAATTTGTTTTAAAATTTTCAAACTTTGTGGAAAAATGTCTCAAGCGAGACATAATTTGTTTTAAAGAGAAAGTTTTCTCAAGCGAGACAAAATTTGTTTTTAAGAAAACTATCTCTAGTGAGACGACACTTTATTTTTTTTAAGAAAATAATCTCAAGAGCTCAAGGTCTTTCTATTGATTCCTGCATGTTGAGGAAACACCTTCAGAAGATCTGATTGTTGACTTCAGGAAGCCAAATCTGTGGATTACATTGTTCTTTCAGGTTGAAAACATCTGATTATTCCGAGCTCTTATTTCCTGAAAAGATTAAAATGATGCATTTTTGACTGACTATCTTGGATGTTATGATGTCATAATGAAGTTTGTATTTTATTTGTCCTCAAGAGAAGGAAACTGAAAGTGTTTATTGCACATGATGATAAATGTTTGATGCAAAGATGCAAAACTTATATAACATGTATGTATGTATTGATGTATGTATATATTTCTTGATCTAAAAGGAGAATTGTTGCGAGAACAGTCTTCACTCCATCAATGATTCAGTTTGTCTGCATTTCCACTAAGGTGTACTCTTGCAAACCTCAAACTGAGACAATTTATTTTCCTTGCCCCATCAAAATTTCCCCAAAAATTTGTCTTTTCTTGCCCCAGCTTCAATCTTGAGCTTCAGAGGGATCTTCGTTGAATTCCAATATATGCCTCCAGAGAGATTATCTTATTTGAAAAACGTTTTTCTTCTTCTTGTATTTTCAAAAGTATGATAATATCAATTAAAAGAGTTTTGAAAAATATTTAATCAAAAGTTTTGAAAATATTGCTCCTTTCAAGGTTTCACA